CCCAGGAATCCTTTCTGTACTCTGACAGGGGTATTATCCCCGAGTGGTTTAAAGCATCCATCCCAGAGTAGCACAGAACCTGGTTTTATCCCACGGGTCACTCACTATCTGCACAACCATAGAGGGCATCATCTTAGCACTTTGGGGCTTAGGGTTTTCATTACAAAATGAGGATATAAAGAGTAATTTTCTTATAGATCAGTGAGATGCTGAAATGGAAGCAGTGAAAATAAGGTAACACCTAGCAAGCACCTAATCAATGTTAGCTGCTGTTATTAATAACATTTTAACCAGAATCTATTTTCTTTGTGTGCAGAAACTTTACAGAACTTATTCATTCCTATTAACTAGGAATCACTCAGAGTCACCCCCTATTTTCTGACCTTTATCCCATTCTTCCCCTTCCTGGTCCCTCTTTCCTTCCTCAAGATTGCTCTCTCTCTCTCTTTCTCTCTCTCAGATTTCAATCTTCATATACAAGGGGACTTCAAAAATTGTGGGAAAATAAATCAAAAGGCCATGTAATGTTTCCATACATTTTTAAACTCCCTCTTCCTACAAGGATGATAAGGCCAGGAAGAAGACAAATGTTCTTCTGAACTTAGTGGTCTTAGAGCAGTAGTTCCCAACTTTCCTAATGCCATGAACCTTTAATACAGTTTCTTATGCTGTGGTGACCCCCTCAACCATAAAATAATTTTCATTGCTACCTCATAACTGTACTATTGGTACTGTTATGAATTGAGCTACCCCAGTGAAAGGGCCCCCTCCCCACAAAAGGCATCATGATCCATAGGTTGAGAACTGCTGTTCTAGAGTTTTATACTTAAGTTTTTGAAGCAATAATTCCTTTGAAAAATACAAAGGACTTGGTGTGGTAGGGTCAGATCAGGGACAATTCCCACACTCCCTCTCCAGTGTTGTCCCCTGTAGGGTTATGGGTCACTGAGGGATGTCGTGTCTCATAGTGGGGCTGGCCATATGGTCTTCTCTGTGGAATGGCTGCTCTGAGCCGGGATATGGTCCTCAAGGCTTGGTGGGCCTGGATGTGCTCCACTCTCTCTTCCTCTCCCTTCATTTGCTCCTGTGTGCTCTGATCAGACCTGTCCCTCTCCCTGAGTGTAGCGCACACGGAGGCAAAGCACTAAGGCTCTGCAACAGAGCAGCATGGAGAGCAGAGCAAGGAAGTCCCCAGGGAGTACTAAAAATAGACTTTGGGGCCAAGGTGTGGCACTCCATCAGACTGGAAAACACTCCTAAAGGTCAACAAACAGACCTTGAAATATTTACAGGCTTCTCTTTTCTTTGTTTGTCATTGGTTTTATTGTTGTTGTCCTTGTTTCATTTGCTTTTATCACTTTGTTTTGCTCTGTCTTGTTTTTTTTTTTGTGTGTGTGCATATTATTATCTCTGCAGGTCTATCTAGATAAGATAGGCTGGATGAACA